CCTCTAGACAACGTCACACTCCCTTACGCTTTAATGATTATATATTGGATTATTAGTACAGTGTATCCAATGTGACCTTGTGCAGTTTATACTTGCACTTACTATTGTTTTTCAGTGTTAATAGGATTTTCCCGTTAAATTAAAGTTTATGTTGTTAAAAAAATTTTCCCGTTAAATTAAAGTTTATGTTGTAAAAAAAAAAAAAAAAAGAGACAAAAAAAAAAACTATTGATGGTGGGTGAGTGCACCCGATTTTGTTTGGCCAGTTTGTGGCTCTCTCTTTCCATAGTTGTTTCCCTTTCATCATGATGTTTCCGCTTGTGGTTGTAGTTTTTGTTTAAAACAAATTAAGAGAAATACAAAAAAGGGAAAGAAAGAGATCACGCCAGGGTTGTTATTCAATGGTAAACAATAGTGCGCCCTCTCCCGGGGCACCGGAGTCAGCCATTGTTGGTCGATATTTACATGTGTTTGGTTCTTGCTGAATAAACGTTATAACTGTAGACTACCGTGTGTGTAATTTCATTTAAGTCGAATCTAGCCTACTGGCGTTAGTTTTATCCTCGTCGCCAGATTTGTAATGTTTTATGACTGTTTATGACACAACACGATGGACTGACAGGAGACGATCGCCATTTTCTCAGTTCAGTATTTATTGTTAAACATAGGTGGCAGCAAACATTGTTTATTAAAGATGAATACATTACACATAGAGAGAGAACAGTGGGAACTGTCTATGCCTATGACTATGTCTATGCATTATGCACAAATATGCCAGGCCTGGCCTAGGCTAGGTCTCTCCAAGTCTTTCTTACTACCACTACTGTATCTTGCCTATTAATGCCATACCCTAGTAGTAACCCACATTAACTGAATAATAAAAAAAACCTCTTACATCCATAGTGGATAATACTGCTAAACTACCTTCCAAGAATGTATAAACTGACTTAACTCCACCATCATGAATTCAAAAACACAGTACTCAACTGAAGTGACCAATCAGAATTGAGTGCAATTCGAGATACTTCCTGGTTCTCTAGTAACAGGTTAACTGTCTGCTGATAGATAACACTATTTTGCTCTCAACCCCAATATGGATATGTGTATGGTAGGCAGATTAAGTTTAGGGAAACTGCAGTCCCCATCGGGTAGTGCCCCAACCCTCCCCCCACCCCGGTCGGGGAGGAAAGCCACAATTCGTTTAAAATAAAACAAAAATGTATTTTCTACAAAATTAGAAAGATTCTAAAAATAAAATCGATTAAATTGAGCATGCCGAAAATCTTCCCTTACCAAATTCGGTCCTGCTACCCGACCTACTCGGGTAAACGATCATCCAACCCCCTGTCACAAGTGACAGGTCGGGTGACAGATTCGCTTCTTACCTAAAATTTATTACCCGCTTCCGGCGGCCTGCGAAGGTCGCGTACTAGTGTATTGTAGTTAGGCCTAGGAAGGTTAGTGATCTAGAGTGAGCAAGAGATATTTCGTTTACAATGGTCAGGCACGGCAAACGTAATGAATAAGCCTACAATCTAGGCTAAAACAATTATTACTCTCTTAACATATTCCTACATTTTCAATAAAAAGAAGTTATAATCGGGAACGCATCTTTAGGTGTGGTGTAATGTCAAAAAGTGCATTGGCAGTCCATAACGAACAGAAGCAACTACTGCTGAATTTCCCGCAAATATTTTTTTACTGGGAATTGTTCTTCTTGTCTATACCACAGTATAATTAAAAAGAAAAAATCAAAAAATCGGGAATATTACGATGTATAACAAACAAAAATAATAAGATTGAACTCAAGCGCCTACCCCTGGCATCCCAAGACCGAACCATTGTGTGCCCGATGAAGCTTATTATAATAGTATTTAAACATGTGTATTATAACGGTTAGTGCACGTGTTTGAATATTATTATAATATTTAAACATGTTTATTATAACGGTTAATACACATGTTTAAATGTGGTAATGTTTAGGCATGTGTATTTATAGTTATAATACAAAATGAATACCCTGCCGCAAAATGGACGGTTCTAAATCGCCCACGACTCAAGCACATGGGCTTCTCGTTCGTTCGTGACGTTGTGCACTGGCCGTGGGAGCGAGTAATCGTCTGTAGATCGTATGCAACGAAGATACAGAATATCAGTTATAAAATCAATTTGATTTTAATACATGACGAATTATTCTCTATTCCTAAATTCTAACTGTCAACTAAATATTCATCGCTCGATTCGGAGGCCCTATAAAATAGAGATTTACTACTCTCTGAGCCTAGATTGAAATACATCAGCTGTAAGCTGTAGAATAGCCCCTGGATAGCCGGGAATGTGAGAAAACATTGCTGTTGTACGCCACACGATCATAAAATAAATAGAATAAAGGCTAGAAAGAATCGTATTCTTATATTTATTTAGGCCAGCATAAACACCAATACACCATGTCATTTTCAATACATATGTGTATTGAAAATGACCAAAATTACCATCTTTGTTTTTTGAGAACTAATGAAATATTGATGCATCTTTCTGGCTAGTATTCTCTCGATCGCCAAGTCACGGTTTTACGTTCGCGAAATTCGTGAAAAAAAGTAAAGAATCCACAGACGTACAGCT